ACACTTTCAAACAGTCCACCAAATATTCAAGAATTGTGTTATCTCATTAAAATAGCGATCTTGTTTTTGTTCAGCTAATTAAAATTTATATAACTTAGGTGCTGTCATTTATTCGTAATTACTCGTTAACTAGTTAATTGTTACATTTTTTATTGAATTCTTTTCAATGATGAGTTTAGATTGACTAATAAAACTTAAGTAATATGTCGCAAAATCACTGATGTAAAATTTTAGGAAATCTTTTTGTAGGCATTGGTGTGGGAAAAGAAATATTTCACTCCACAATTCTTAGCGAGAATTAGTAGAACCGGCTGACTGAACCAACACTAAAGTGAAATAATGCGAAAAGCAAGAGGAGAGAAAAAGCTTAGTATTATAGTGTCCACCCAGAAATAGCCACATGCTATGAGAGATAAGGACGGGAACATCCGTCTAGTCTGCCTGCCGATCGAGTTTTGCTGGCCTTATTTTTCCGATCGGGCGGAAATGTCATGTTTTTTATGTAAGGGTATATTATTATTTTTTTTCCAGCCTTATCCCTGTCAGCTGAAACAGAATGCTGGAGGAATGTGAATAACATAAATGTATACTGAAAGATTTTTTCAAAATCTTGAATAGTTCCATGAAAGGTGGCTATAGGAAATGCATTCTTGCTGCGTCTTGTACGAAAATATGAGTATACAAGTATAATATTTTGGGAATGTAAGTTTATTTCTGGCATTGGGTTGGAGGTTTATATACCAAATTGGGCTCTGAAAAGGAACCAAAAAACTTATCTGTATCTTTCCCGAATTTGGTTTAATGGCACTGTCGCCACAAACAGATTTCATGCGTGGCTAAATCGGTCTGCAATCAGCCGGATAGGTACATTTTCACCAGGATGCGATGCAGTGTGCAAGGTGGAGAAAAATGTTCTACTCGAAGTTTCTGAAACGAAAGAACGAAAACGACCAATCCTGATGTCGCATACGATTTCAATGTCATCGTTAGGAACACAAATGTTTGTAAAACGTAATGAAGAAGTGTTCTGAAGGTAGACCGGAAAGTTGATGGTTCATGTCGATGTGAAAAATTCTCTCCAGTTGCTGACGGAAATATCTGACAGCAGCAAAAGCTGTCAGGATGTCTTGTCCAAAAAGATTCAAATTCAGAAATGAAGCGTTAAAAAAATAGCCCCAAGTTTTATTGTGTCAGGCGTGTGGAATTATGATAGTGTTCTTAGTTTTTCAAGTGACGAAAATATGCCAGCTTAACTGATTTGATATTTTAAAAAGATGATTTCAAAAATTCACATTTAATACGGTTTATAACGGAGGAACGAGCTATATGAATAATGTCTACGTACGCACAAACGAAATGCAAAACAATAAAAATGATGGTCAGTGAATCTTCGGAAAGACTACCTTGTATTCCGCATTAGTGCACTATAATATCCACAAGCACACTAAGTGGCACCACATTTCGGAACTTAGTGTAGTTGAGGTGAACAATTACTATTTGGTGAACTGACAATACTCAGCTGTATCATCTGATTGAATTTTGTTTTAAATTGTTTCAGTTTTTCTGGTACTAAGCATCGTGGACGACTCGTCATGGGAAATAAGGAACATTCATCTATTTTGCTTGCCGATTGGAACCTATAGGTTTTACTGGCTTTAATTTTACGCTTGGGTGGGATTGTCATATACTTTATATGTAAGGACATACAATTGCTTTTGTGTCCATACACTTTGATCGATGCTACGTGTAGAAGAAATAAAAAGAAAATAACACCATTCTAATACGAATTTTTCACTCATTTTATGAAGCATTATTTTTAACCGATCAGTTCAAAATAAGGGATCTCTTCTAGAACTGCGGTTTCAAATTAAAAAAAAACATAAAATAACAAATTTAAACTTTCCCTACAAATAAGTTTTCCCCATTAAAATCTCTTTTACTTATAAATTAATTTGGTTGATTTTCCATGGTCAGAGGAACAGAACAAACATGGAATAAATCTCAATAAGGACGAAAAAACAACATCCAAAATATCGAGTATCACAACCAAATGTCAGTGATTAAAGTTGGATTATGTCTCACAGTAATTAAAATAACATTTGACAACTTCACTAGAGTGATTATTTGTAGCTTCCTAAAAGGAACAGTCTGGGAAAAAATCGAAGACAAATCATCCAGATTATTGGTAAAGTCCATCTGTATGCAAATGATGTAAGAGACTATACTAAAATCACTGATATCAAATAAAACAAGAAACAATCGCGGTGCGTCGATGTGAAATTACCAAAACATCCCAATTTGGATTCTTATTTAAGATTTTCTAATGTTATAAAATCAATTAAACTAAAACGAAACTTAACAAATGGTTTTTTTTTTCTCCTGAAATGTCAACTTAATGAGGATGTTTAAGAAAATATTTTTGTTGCTTTAAAACGTTTTTTCTTTAAGTTTTGATAACTTTTAATTTTCTGTTTTAAAATATCTCCTCAAAATATAATAAATAAACAAAACAAGTGAAATAAAATTAAATTTTCCCCTCAGGATAAAATTTACTTACTAAATTTTGCAAAACCACAAAATCGTTTATGTTCCGAAGCGATCACCCATTTTCCATCAACAGATCAATTTTAAATAAATTGTGGGCGCTTTTATAAAGAAAGTTAAAAAAAAAAAATGCTTGAAAAATATTTTGTTACAAATTTTTATCTTATTTGTTTTTTTCAAAATACTGAAAATAAATAGGATTATTATCAAAGTTTAAATGTAAGATTAAATTTAAAATATGAAAATTTGAGAAACAATGGCATCTTTGTGTGTGTGTGATTATTTACCCCCATCTCCCCACTGAGATGAGATGTGACACAAGGTCGTGTTTAATGTGGAGTACACTCGAGCCAACGACAAAATTTGCCCAGTGCCTGCAACCGTCGATTGCGCTGGCATCGGTATGACTACCACTCTCTAGTGCAATGTGGGTGTCGCGGTTCCAGATGTTCCCCGGGACCGGGAACATCACCGTTTTTATTTCCTCCATCTGCGTCTCTGTCCGCAGCCAGAGCCACAACTAAGTCGCACTCTGCCTGAAGACAGAGACGCAACTGAAAGGCAATTTTTTTTATATATATCTGTGTGTGTGTGTGTGTGTGAGAGAGAGAGAGAGATAAAGATGTGCAATGTACATATTGTATATTAGTCGACGCTGTTGTCGCTAAAGTGCAGCGTCATTTGAATTAAGCATTTTCCAATTTTCGGAAATGGTTGACAGCTTTTAATATTGAAATAAAACATATTTTCGTGGCCAAATATCGAAATTTAATATACTGAAGGTTAGAATTTATCATTTTTCTAGTGTCTGTATGTTGGATTTTAGCACTTTCCAGGGCCCAGTGAACTCTACCATACGAGTTAAAAGCGCATTTCACTAAGTGAAAATAACTTTCAAGTCTTAATTTTTTTGATTTATCTATTAGGCGTGAAGGGATGATTTTTTTCTATCAAATTAAAGATTTTGATTGATTTAGTAAAAAACTATTTCCGCTCTTCTTTCATTCTTTATTTTATTTCATTCTTCTTCATCAACGAATACTGAAATTACTAGATTTGGAGGAGATCTATAAAATCTGCGTTTTACATCTAAAAAGTTTCTCCTGAATTGTTTTATGCAATTTAAATAACTTTTCAAGCACAAATATCTCTGGTTTAATATAGTAGATTTTTATATTAGCATTTTCTATATGTCCAATCACAAAGATTGTAACGATTTAAAATGAAATTTTATACAAGTTTTGGTTGTTTTTCGTTTTGTATCAGTTTTTTAGTTTAAAATGCTTAAAGATACCTAAAATATTTAAAAACACGTTTTCGTTGTTAAATATCGACATATTTGGTTGAATATTAAATTGTAGTATCTTCAATTGCCTGGAATTTAGAATTTACCATATTTTAATTCCCAGATTTTTTTAGCGTCATCCATTGAGGTTATTTAGTTATAAATGCATTCACCATTCGTCTAAGTTTGAAAATTGGATTTCCATGGTTTTTATTCGTTGACATTTTTAATTTGCTTTCTGTAAAAAAAAAGGGAGAAATTATGTAAACATCTTGGAAAAAAAATGAAGTCAAAATCTTCAAAATTAGCAAAAGGTTCTCAAAGTTTTTCTTTTCAAACGATGCATTTTAGTTTCTTTTTTGTTTTAAATTTGTTGGGAATTTACAATATTTTCTTTATGTTTTGGATTTTACAACAGATAACATTCTAAAACAAAGACATCGCCTGATATAGAGACAATCTTCGAAACATAAGAGTTTAAAAGAATGTTACTTGGATGGATGAGTGCTAGAAAATACGGAATAGAATTGCAGTTGTAGAGAATGTGCTGAAGTGATGACTTTTCAATATTTTACAAACAAGTATAGATTGAAAAATTAGTTTAACCTTTTGGTCTACTTTAATAATATAAATAACAACGTAGGTTTTGAATAGCATTTCTTTTATTTTACACTTAAAAGAGAGAAACCGAATCGAACCGTTTTACTTTTATTTTTTTTAAATCGTTGAGAGTAAAAATCAGAAAGGAAATAAGAGCGAGTAAAAGAAACAAACATGTCTCTCTCTCTCTCTCTCTTTCTATCTCTCCCTCTCTCCCACTTTCACACACACACACACACACACACACACACACACACGCACACGCACACACACACCGATTGCCTAATAACATCGGGACAAGAGAAGCAACAGTTTTATTATACAGGAATTGATTGTTTTGTCAATACTAGCAACGCACATTTACCCATGCCGAGTTGAGAAACTATTTCTTTGTGAAAACTAGAAACTGAATACATAGTCGAAAACATTTTTTTTTAGAAACTTTTGTACATGCACACCTAATATTATTGTACTAGATACATTTGCCCCACGGCAGAAAAATCAGTTTTATTCCGATTAAAATTAATGTTTTCAACTTCATTTTTAAAATCAACTATTTTCTATTAGGATTCTAAGCCTCTACCATTTCATCTATTTTTCTGTTGTTTTCTTTGACCGGTCTCTTTTTAAATGGAAGCGGCATCTGGTCTTCTTCCAATTCATTATAATCGTTGTCACCAATACCATTGTCGATGAGGTCAACCTCTACTTTTACATCCTTAGTCAATTCTATATCATCTAAATGTTCTTTCATCGTCATTGCCGTCTCTTCTTTTCCATTTCGCTTTAAATATCCTTGCAATTTACTCTCAACATCCCGTTGCTCTTTCATTTTACAATCAGTATTCTCACCATCTTTTTGCTGTGGCCATCCGGGATGTGCATTGCATTTGCCTTGCTTCCTTCGATCAATTTGTTCCATAATATTCATTTTCAAACATTCTACGGCAATGCATTTTGAATTCACTTGAATATGTTCATCATCAACAGCGGAATTGTCATCATTCTGATGAGATTCCTCGATCGTATCATCATCATTATCATTGCTTACATTCATGAAGAAATCTTCTTTTGACGTGTTCTTTGGAACTAAACCATAATTATCTTCCACGCTCTCATCACTTTTCAAATTTAATGAGGTTCTTTCACACGTATTATGATATAGTGTCGGAGAATAACCAAAGTAAGAGTCTTTAGGTGAAAACATCGCCATCTTCTCTTCTGTCAGGGCCCCGATGTTTCCATTCAGTATCTGTGGTTGTGAACGAACTGAAGAGGTAGGATATCGATTGATTGATTCACACCAGTTATTAACGCTGGTGCTCACTACCACAACGGCTGTGGAAGTTGTCGGCCCTTGACTGGCTAATGTCATAATTTGCTTGACAGGCTGCTTTTTGGTCAGAGGTCGAACAATGGACAAATAACCTTCGCCGTTCGGTCGGTCATTAAGACAAGAATGCGAATTAAGAAGGCTTTGATGAGAAAAAACTTTACGGCAATCGATGCACTTGTATGACGTCATAAAAATTCTCGGGGGTTTCCGTTTGATAATTTTTCCTGGTGATGCTGATTCGTGGTTGTTTGCCACTTCCAATGATGTCACTGTTGTGTTGATACGATGATGATGATGATGATGATGATGATGAGTATAAAGATGATGGTTATTATCATTACTACTGCTGTCGCTGCTGTTATATACATGACGGTAGCGATAATTCTCATCACTCCTCTCACTGTCTTTTTGATCATTCATTACTTGTAAAGTGATATTCTTGTCACCTTCCATTGTGTCAGAGCCGATGCTTTGGCTTCTCGTGTCCGTGTAGGTTTGATTCAACCTATCCGGTAAGAGGAACTTCTTAATTCTTGGGATACCGATCGCTGTTTCGATTGGGGGTGATCGATAAAGATAAGTATCAACAGTCGGCGTACACACTTGAGACGTTGGGGAATTGTGATCAAAAGAGTTCTCGGGCATTTCAGTCACGACAGACACTTTTGAAAGCTCTTCGCTAAGTCCTTTCATCCCCGAGTTGCTTATCCCAATCCCGCCTAGAGTGCTCTTTTTGTTGTGTACCTTCTGATGTCTCTCTAAGTTACTCTTGTGGCTTGTGGCGTAGCTACAGAGTGGACAAATGAAGTCCTTCTGACCACTGTGTACAGACAAGTGACGTCGAAGCAAGGCCTTGCGACAAAAATTGCGGCCACAAACCCGACATCGGTAGCCGCTGCTATGAAACAGGCTGACGTGTTCCCGAAGCATTGCTTTACTACGGAACATTACACCACAGCATTCAAGGATCTTTGGGCAGTCTTGATGCATGGTGATGATGTGTCTCTTCAGGTTATTTTTGCGGTCAGTTACATAGTGACACTGAGGGCACAGAAAGATTTTACGTCCTCTTTCACTTTTCTCCTGGCCCTGATAAAACATTAGATTTGAGTCATGTGCCGGTCCCACGCTGCCAAGTAACCGTATATTATGATTATTACTACTGTTGTTTTTGTTATTTTCAGCATCGGCAAGTGCATCTGTGGTCGTGTTTACCGAATGGTTAATCATGCTTCTTGTGATCCCCTTATCATTAAGTAACGACAATTTATCTTCCACAGTGCGACTATTTGTTGAATGGCGCCCAATATGACGGCGTTCATTGACGCCTTTGTTATTGTTATTTTCGTTGTTATTATTTTTGTCGTTTTCTCTATGGAAACCGACTCCGAGTGTTCCGATTCCAACCGTTTCTGGATTTTTCATAGACAGAGCCTGGGGAAAGAAAGCCTTGGTAAAGGACGGGGTGACGGCCATCACATGACGCGAAAAAGGAATACTTTGTTCGATGGCTGCAGCGGCAGCGGCAGCGGCGACAGCGGCCCCAGCATACATGCTTGGATAGTGTGAAGGGTGCAAATTATAGTGAGATGGATGAAGATATTGCAGCGAGTGGGTGTTGGGATTAGGGTGATGGGGAGGGAGATGTGGCTGTTGGTGCGGGTGTAGCTGGTGCGTGGGTTGAGATAGATGCGACATGTGGGGGAGATGGGCTTTTCCTGTATGCAAGCTCAGAGCAAACCCATCCAATTCGTTTTGCAGAGCTAGGAATGGTATCCCCAACTTGCTCCGAATTTGCAGGAGAGAACGTGTCAGAAAAGGGTTTCCAAAATCATTGGTTAACATTCTGGTTGTCTGATTTTAATTTTAAATCAACGATTCTGATATTAAAATCTTCTTTTCAAGCTAGAGTTCGGCTTTCTTCATGGATTTGTAAATCTTTGAAGAAACCTTTTTTCTTATTTCTTTTTATGCTAAACTCACGTACAAGTGATCGAGTAAGGAACTTGTGAGTAAACGTACTTCTCAATTAAATCCAATTTCCTCGTATATTTAACAGAATTAATGGATGTACAAAATGAAAATAATTAAATTATTAGAATTAATTAAAATTATTTCTAATTACAAATCAAGCAAATGAACCCGGAAACATCTTGTGATAATTTTTGTCACTGGGTTTTCAGTAAAATTCAAGATTTTCAGAATTAATAATATTAATTGATAAAAGGAATAAGAAAACTTTACAAAATTAAATTTAAAAAATAAAAATCGTGAATTATTTTTTGAGATATTTAAAAACTTCGTTGTAATTTTTCTTTGAATCAAAGTCCATCAACTTCTGGGTATAAGAAAAAAAGGATAAATTGATAGTGAATTAAATTCATAGATTTTAACCATTCGATACTCCAACTTGATTAAATGAACGACGTTTTCGTGTCAATAAAAGAAAATTACAGTCTTTTATTTTTACTTGTAGTCAGAAGAGTGGTGTCTCTTTTGTCGACTTCAAAGTAATCCTTTTTAAACGTCTAACACTGGGATTTTGCTGAAATCCTGAAAAGTGAAAACAAAGCAAAAATGATTATAATTCAGTACAAAAAGCAGAATTAACATTAAAAAATACTAAAGAGTCATTTGTTTTTCTTCTGACGCCGGTAGTCACGATTACAAGCAATTCAATGTATAAATTGCGTGAATATAAATTTTGATGGTATTGTCATTTTTGTCTGAATTTCTATGAAGCGAAAGTTATTGGAAAATAAAATGATTGACGTAATTAGTACACATGCTATGTTCAAATAATCTATTCAATGTATAGATGAAAGTTTTAATTAGAAAAGAACATGTATTAAATTTAAGCCCAATCCACAAATTGACTCCTTAGTAATTCTACAACTAATCTGTTATCTTGTAAATTGTGACTCCAATCGTTGTGGGAGGCAATGTAAAATTATTGAAAAGGCAAAGCCATATTAGAATGACTATTACGAGTTATGAAATAGTAAGTACACTTACCTATCTATATAGAAAATAAAATAATACAAGTTGTTTCAAAGAAAAATATATGGAAAGTAAACAGGTTTTTATGGTAAATTTTCTAGCTTAGATGTGGCACAAGGCCGAAAGTACGGAGCACCCAGTGAGGGTCGAACTCACTACTCAGTCATAATTGATTTAACGAGACGGGCTTGCTTATCCATTACACCACATCGCCGTGGTAAAACAGCAGTTTTATTTTTTATGAAAGTAAACAGATATATGTAAGCAGACGACATGTGGTTTGTCTATTCGCTTTAACGAGCTTTCATTCATTCGCACACACCCACACAGAAAACAAAAATCGGATGCACTCTTACGTCCTTGCATAAACTGACATTTAATACACTCACATAAGAGATTTATAAACACATCCAAATACATGCTTCATTTCCTCACCGCAACCTCAGAGTCGTTTCAACGACAGGCGATAATATGTTTGCCTCCTACTTCTGATCTTTAAGCAACCATTTCCTTTTTCATTTGTAGCCATTTGATTTAATAAGCAATCCGCCCTCCTTCAATTTCCATCTTTAGTGATTGTCAAATCGATACAAAAAGCGAAGAAAACGTTGACATTGTTTCTGGGTCATCGAAAACAACCAGCCTAGAGGCCTGCACAACTTTTTGATCAGCCATCATAGATTGGCTAAGGTACTTGTTCGGTGGGAGAGAAGAAAGAGTATCTTGAAATATCAAGATGGTTATAATGATGATCTCAAATGTGAAACTGGTAAGGATTAGCGGAGAAGACGCTCGCATTAATGCTAAGGGGTGCTAGGATGTAGCGGTGACGGAGAATTTCAATCAAGAAGTACACCCCAGCGTATGCATTGAGGAATACGTATGTGTGTGTACAGCGTACAAGAATATCATATATATATATATATATATATATATATATATATATATATATATATATATATATATATATATGTATATAATTCTTTATTTAAAAGAATTTATAACATAAATATGTTATAAAATCACTACAAAAAATAACTATTTTGTTTCAACACTCTCAGTGTCTTATCAAGTGATATATATATATCGGTACCTCCAAAGATTGACTAAAAAATTAGTATACATGCTGAAAAAAATGACCCAAACCTACTAAAAACAGCCTTTTAGCGTCAAAATCTTTGTTATTGTTAAGGGGGAAGATAAAAGAATTTTTTTTATATGAAAATTATTTTTTTAATTCTTCAACATGGAACCATAAATTTGTATGGGAAATTTGACCGTCTTTTCTGATGAAAAATATATTGATTGAGAAATAAGACAATTGTTGGATTTTAATGAAACTTTCAGGACTTATTCAGAAACGAATGAAATTATATTTAAATGTTTTTTTTTTAAGAAAATCTTGTTAAAAATATTTTTTTTACATCTGTTACCTTCTCCCTCCCACTTTGGAGAAATTCCTTCTTGGAGCGCTTAATGTTTATATTAGTTATAAGGAGAATTTAACAGAAATATTTTTTGTCAAACGGAACATCTGCTCTCAATCGTAAAATAGAAAATACAATAAAACTAAGACATTATTAATAAGAATAGCTTTAACTGCTTTTATGAATAAAATATATTATGGATACTACTGTCTTATGAAAAAAAACTTTTTCGATGAATAATGATTTTTTACAAGAATTGTTTACATTTTTGAACATTTTAATTTGAATAATTTCTAAGATTTTAGATTCTGTATGTATTTTTTAGCGGTCAAGTAATATTGTTATTAAATAAAAACTGTATTTACTAATCATAAATGGAAACGATTACTACAATTCAGCGACCCTAGTATTTTAAAAAGAATTTTGAAGCTTATCTAAGAGATAGAAATAAATAAATATGGATTCGAGAACAAACCAATGTAAGAGGTAGTGAAGTGATTAAGCGATTCAGTGGAGGTGGGCAGGTTAAATTGCAAGAAGGAAAGATAAGAGAAGGAGCAAAAGGTTGGTTGATTGTAGATAAAAGATAGCAAATACAACAGGGAGGGAGAGATACACAAATATTGATTGAGCAATTTATTTTTATGGCTTATCAACCATTTGTGGTTTTTTAAAACCAAACTTATTTTGGAGTGTAAGAATAATTATTTTTCTTTGGGAGTGAATATAGCATTTTTGAGAATTTTTTCCACATAGCCCTGATATTTATCTCATAGCTGGGGCGAGGAAATGGATTAATACCTTTACCAGGCGTATTTGCGCGTAAAAGAATATAACTAGAATTTAAAGTTGGCTCTCTGATTTAGACAACAGAGAAGTAAACAGAAAGAAAGGGGCATAGGATCATGTTGATATTCATAGAAATCTGCTGTGACATTAAATACAATAACGGGTAAACATACCGAGGTAAATAAGAATAATAGTTAGGTTGATAATGACATAGTTAAAATAGCTAGTTTTACAAAGTTTAACTTTTTTACTGAATCCTAGTGATGACGGAGAACTAATGAAGCAAAGATACAAGATAGGGTAAGAGAGACGAGAATTAGAGAGAGAGAGAGAGAGAGAGAGAGAGAGAGAGAGAGAGAGAGAGAGACACTCACACAGACAGACAGACAGGGAGAAGTAAAGCTAAATTATTTGATTTTGTTTTTCAACCAAGGAAACTCGTAATCAATTCTTTCATAATTCCTTATCTACTCTTTTTGTTGTTAATGTTTGATTCTAGTTTTGATGTCTGAAAAATAGTTTATTTTCTCTTTCATCATTTCTTGTTTATTAGATGCATCCCTGCACCTCTCTCCACGAGTGTACCACACTCAGATTTTTCTCAAAATGCGAACAAGATGATCGCGGGTTGTAGGAGGCTGTTGTGTTGGACGATCATGAAAAGAGATTCAGTGAGGCAAAATAGCTATTGGCGATGATAGATGATGAAGAAAAAAATGGCTATTGTTCAAAGATGGAAAACGCTGGTAGACCGCACTCACCACTGCGTGGCCCTCGACACCACTTCAGCTGAGATGCCGAATGAAGAATCAAAGAAAGAGTTAAGAGACGACCGACCAACTTATTGGGGCGCACACACCTACACAATTACCCACAAACGTAAACGTATAATTACGCACCCTCATTGACACAATAAAGACGCGTGCGCTCATATACATTCCTTAAATTTATCATGTACACATACTCACACACATAAAACCCTGCATACACATTGATACAGATGAATGCAAGCATAAAGATTTATAAACACATATAGTATTATAATAGAAAAATGAAAGCAAGCGCACATCTTAGTATGCGCATATATTTGAACGTATATAGACACTAGTAATTGCACACACACATACACAGCGATACACAGAGAAAGACATATATATAGTGAGAAAGAGACTTACATATATTCAATCATATAAACATAAACGTGCGACGCATACGCATAAATGCCACACGTATTCATAAACGGATAATGACACAGCTACACACATCTTTGCATTTCCACATGTAAATCCTTTCTCGTGAAACTCACATTTAAAAAGCGTAAATAGACATTTTTTACGCTTTATCATTGCATTTGCATCGTATTTATTTAAGGAAAAAGTTTTCCATTGAGTTGAAACTTGGCTTTCACTGGGGGGCAAAGGACAACAAAATTATACTACTCCATTACTCTTCCTATTATTTTAGGTGATTTTAGTAATGATGTCGTCTCCATGGCTTCAATCCTCACTTGGTTTTCTTTTCTTTCCTTCTAAATGCACCAGTAATGATGAACACACCTGTCACTTTTCAAATTTTTTCTCTGCCAAGGTCAAAGTACTTGCAGTCTGATTCAATTTTAACAAAAATTAC